TGGGCTTGTTCAACCTGGAGAAGAGAAGGCTGAGAGGGGACCTTCGAAATGCCTCTAAATATCTGCAGGGTGGGGGTCAGGAGGACGGGGCCAGACTCTTCTCAGTGGTGCCCAGCGACAGGACAAGGGGCAATGGGCACAAACTGAAGCAGAGGAAGCTCCCGCTGAAGATGAGGAAGAACTTCTTCCCTCTGAGGGTGACGGAGCCCTGGCCCAGGCTGCCCAGGGAGGCTGTGGAGTCTCCTTCTCTGGAGATATTCAAGCCCCGCCTGGACGCGGTGCTGTGCAGCCTGCTCTGGGTGACCCTTCTTGGGCAGGGGGTTGGACTGGGTGACCCACAGAGGTCCCTTCCAACCCCTGCCATTCTGTGATTCTTTGATTGTGCAGCTTTCTAAGGAATGGAAGCAATCTAGTTGCTTTATCATTCATTGTTCTTTAAGACAACAATGACTTAGAGGAACTACTCCCACACAAAATAAAGTACTTGTGTGTTAACCATTATTATAACCATAACCATGTATGAGGAACCATGGCCACAAGCCAGGACCCACCACCGCAGGGACTGTACCAAGACAGCTGAATAATGGCCGCTTCCAAAAGAAGACAGAAATAGAAGTACAGTAACAGAAGCTCACTTGTTTGCGGATGGGTGGGAGGATGAAGGGAGGGACTGCTGTATCACACTTCTGTTGCCGAGAGCTCTGAGAGGAGTGCATAATGCAGCGTGCTTATTCTTCCTTGGAGAAGAATTTTAATCACCATGAAATATTAAAACAAATCCAGAGTTTGGAGCGTGAAATATACCCTCCAGCTAAATGACCCTTTCCTCAAGCAGTAAACCCCTGTAAACAACAAGTCTTCACTTTCTTTTGAGTAACAGTTTTAATTACATTACCCTAAAATACTGAAGTTTTGCCAGGACCACTACATTTGAAAAGAAATTACCAAAGAAGCTGAAGACTCAGGAACTATGTTTGAATGTTAGGGCACACCCATGACAACAGCCTTTTTGTGGAGGGAGCAAAACACACAGATGCATTTGAGGACAGGACCAACAGACAACGCACATTAAAACACAACAGCCCACGCAGTACAGAGGGGCAGAGAGCACTGAAGCATCATCAGGCTTTTACAGGTGCCATCTAGTGGAAAAAGAATAGGGAACAGAAGGTTAGTGGTGGTATCTTTGGTTCCTTGCTGACTCCCTAGTTTAGCCTAAGTTTTCACACCAGCTAGGATTAGGCTATTCCTGAGGCCAGGGGACACATGGGGCTGACAGCTCTGATCCCTAAAAGTCTGACAAACTTTGTTAATTAAGTGACAAAGTAAGTGAAGTCAGAGAGGATTTTCTAGGTAGTTGCTGTATCTTGAAGGGAAGAATATTATACATTTTGAAGGGCAAACTACGGGCAAACCAAGTACGTTTCAGAGAACTAAAGAGTATTATGAAAACAAACATTAGATAAGGAGAAAAGTCTAAAGAGCCAGAAACATTACTAAATTTATTAATATGGACTGGAACAAAATTACACCCATTCATTTACTGAGCAGTAATATTTTATTGTCCAAATAACCCATGTCTATAAATAATAACTTATGGAAAATCACTAATAAAAATGACATATGGCTCCAATACAGGGGAAAAAAACAAAGATCCTCTCTCCATTTGGCACAGACCTTTTAAATAGCACTATGCTCACACAGCTGCTTCAGCAAAGACACGTTACCACACCTGAATCTAACCAGCACCATCTTGCTTCTGCATCTGATAGCGACAACTACCCTGAGGTCCAACTCCTTGGGATTCAACACACAGCCATGGGGAACAAGCGAGCCTCATCCCCTAAAACATCCATTGCTTGTTGATATTCTATAAAAAGTGCAAGCAAAAATCAGGCTAATTCTCCCTCTAACAGTGCTGCTGGCTTCCTTCAGCCATCAGAGATGCCAGTAGTTTTTGCATTTATTTATGCCAGCTAAAGGCTTGGCTGTATAGCTATTGTTTACTTTCTGTCCAAGATACTGGAATTTAATTTTGTATATTGAAACACGGCCTAACTCACTATTCTGGCTAATGCAGGGTATCTAAGAGATGTCAAACCATCTTCATTTAAACGTGTTCTTGTTGACTGTTAAAAGCTAAGGTCTAGATTTTGTCCAGAGGCCGTTATTCCTGCCTAGGGCTCACCCTGGACCTGCAAATCTCTGTAGCAAGAGCTCCCTCCAAGCTGACGGGCCCAGTAACACAGAAGAGAATCTGGGTGCCAAGTGGAGACGATGGAGTTCTACCTTTCCTGGTGTGAAGCCAACACCACTGAGGTTGCAATGCTGGAAACTGAGCCACACTGACAGTGGAAGGAAAGGGTTCACAGTTCTGCATCAAGAAACAAGGAAAGATCTCCACCCACTCCTTTTCACATATGAGTTGCTTGATTGGGACTGTATTAAAAAAAAAAGAAAGGGAAAAAAGAAGTCTCTTCACCAGTCCCCCCCCTGAAGTCCGCAGGCAGGCCCTGATCACAGCGAGCTGGAGTCTACAGCATCAAGGACAGGCATTACCAGCCAGTTCCAAGTGTTAAAGCTCACGCTCTGTCTGCCTGATGCTCTCTTGCAGATGACATGGGTTTTACATAAAAAGTTGTGCAGAAGGATAAAAGATTTACTTCGTTAAAGGTAAAACCAAGGTCTGGATGCGCTGGTGATAGCGTTATCAAAAAAAGACACCCCAACATCCAACCCCGCTGAGCACCCCACAGTGTAGTGCCTTTGAGGTAAGAGTGCTGGACAAGGTGTGTTTCCTCTTGGTTCGCTCCATTTGAGGTTTGGTGGTGCCAGCGTATGACACATGGACATTGAAAGAGGGGAACGCGAGGACAGACGGTCACCTCAGACTGCTGTACTGGAGGCACAGGTCTTCACGGGTCACTGTGAACGATACGAGTTCTGACCTGCAGGCACTGGGAAACGACCGAGTGCAACGCAGAACTCCTGGACTGATGGAAGGTATATTGCCTGCCTCAAGGACCTTACTCAGCCATTACATTTTAAAGGTTGCACCTAGTCCCTGTTTTGATGTTAAAATGCTTCCTTAAAACCAAAAATAATTAGAAAGTGTGGTGGGAAACAGTTAACTGACCAAAGCTATGAAACAGTACCTAGTGGCCACTCTTTTAAAAAGTAGTAACAAGATTTAGGCTATTTTAGGCTTTGCAAAATGTCATTATTCAAAAATCCAGACTTCTTTTCAAATCACCTCCATTTACTTTTGCCACAAGACAAGAACGAACCGTATCATTATGTCAAGAAATCCAAGTTACAATATAATCATTTGAGTTCTTGCATTCTTGCAGTCAGTAAAGAGTTCTACCAAAGTGCCATTAGGTCGACATTTCTAAACATCACATACCTCTGTTAATGTATACGCTTCCTCTGCTGTGCATTCAGCTTTCACTGTAGGGTTACTTAGTGCAAATATTATGGGCCGCTCATTGATAGCGGCCATTGCTTTGATCACATCCTGAGAGAAGAGCCGCCCAGCTCCTGCAACTCCTGAGGTAAACGGAAGCACAGGAAAATAGAATCAATACTTGACTGCCTCAGGGCAGATGACAGCGACTGTACATTAAGTTCACATCACCCCCGAAGGAGATGGGAGACCAGGCACTGCTCTGTTAATGGCTGGTTAAAATTCTCATTTTCACAGGAACATCTAATTACCAGGCTCCAAAAGCCTATTCTACACGATTTTTTGTATTGATCTGTGTAAAGAACACTTATTGCTGCCCTGGATAAGCAAGTGCGAACTCCAGGCTCGCCACAGATGATTCATCCGAGCTGGGTGTTAACTGTGCCATGCACATTCCTTTGATATTGGCATTTCTGGCTACAACCAGACATGTAGGTACAAATACATAAAAACGGTACATTTGTACACCAGCTACAAACTTCAGGGTAGCTACTCAGCCAAAAACACTTATATTTTCCAAATAAATCACGTGCAAAGGAAATTGCAGAGTTGTACCAGGAAAATCCAGTCTGAACTCTGCAGACAGCCACGGTTATAAATCAATACCTATGTATGTCAGTGACCTAATAGGTATTGGTGATCTGCAGTAAAAAACAGCTCCTTCGAGCCATGCTGCTGGCAGATTCTGGCCAGAGAAGCTAACTGGGGGAAGGAAGGTCAGAAAAAAAGTAATTTACTCAAGTTAGGGAACTCCTGTAGAGCAGAAAATCCGGTGGTGGTGACTGCTCTCTGCCTTGCTGCTGGAGAGCCCTCCACTACAGTTTCAGTTCACTGTGGCCACGCAGTCCCTTAGAATATGCTCAGAGTTTTCTAAGAAAGGTCCAACACCAGATGAACCAGGACTAGGGGAAGCAGTTACCGAGGTCACAGGATGCAGGAGCACCACAGCTGCAATGAAGGATGCACCGAGAGCTAACCTGCAGCTCAGTACAGTTGCAAGCAGAAAACTGACCTCACATTTTCATCTTATTTACACCAACAGAAATGCAGATCGCTGTCACCAACCTCCCTGGAGCCACATCAGCAAATTAAATGCAGCATGACAGAGAGACAGAAACAAAAATAACCTTACTTACCAACGATAGCTGAAGGCCGAAGTACATTCACTGCCTCTACAAACGTCTTTGGTATCTGCTCTGGAGCCTGATGCGTAAATGGTTCTTGATTGGAATCTACCTTTTGTTCTCGGCCCTATAGATAAAAAGTTAATTCTTTTTGTGAGAAGGACACAGAAAGCCCTGGCCATCCACACTGTGGTATTTCAAGGCATTTGGTGCACCCCTACCTGAACCAGTAAACCATATTTGTCAAACATCCATATCCTCCGGTAGGCTTCCTCAGCAGAAACCCCGCTTTCCATCATAGCCATAACAATGAGGTTTGCAATTCCCAGGGCGGCCTTGTGGATAAAAGGACTTTGATTTTTAACAAGTCACAAAAGAGGTCAGTCATCACGAACACCACCCTGTTCAAGATGCCCACAAAAATCATTTGGTCAGTCAGCTCTGACACACAAGCAGTGTTTGCCTAGACAGACACAGACTCCTGGGATCCACAGTGTCACATCTTCAAGCAAAAGAGAGAGGCAGCTCTTTGGGGTGCTGTGTCCCCATCCCTGTACC